CGTAATAGTTAACAGCATGTCCGATACAATTAAACCAAACAACTGGGCTAACTAGTTCAATAATCACACACACAAGCGCAGCATCAATCACTCCGTGTCTCAATTCGGAAACGTCAAAAAATGACAGCCGATTACGCGCCAAAACAAAGATCTGTCAGATCGGCGGCACGCCTCCCCGGGTTGCCTGTTGTAAATTAATAAATCAAACATCCAGACCAGCCAGTGACAAAAGTCACATCAGAAATTACAGCTCACAAATCGTCACACACACCACTCATAAATCAAGACGAATATTTCTTTGACTAATAAAAAAAAAAACTGAACTAAGTAAATACCGTGGTCTTCTACCTGCGCTCGTATCTTCTGAATGCTTTTCTTGTATTAAAATAAGATTTTTGAACGCACGGATTCCGGGACAAAAAACGGAAGAAAAACTCTCCTTTCATTTTGTCTGTCTCTATCTCGCGTGGGGTGTTCCATCTCTTTCTGGTGGGGATGATGCAGCTACAAGAAACTGAAACGTCACATAGATGTTTTTGGATTTATTCCCTTAACGAAAAAAATGTTGTAATATCAACGTTTTTTATTGCTTTAAAATAACAATATCATGAATTTATTTTTATTCAATTCAAGATTTGCATATACAGTTTAAAGGACGTAGGCAAACAGTGGGACCGTTCACAAGTTCCATGTTAGTTATGAATAATAATTTTCAATCATTTACATAATATTTATGATGGGGACTCCACGAGCAAACAAAAACCCGTCACACGTCCAAAGTTATTTTAATTCCAGCGTAAAGTCCAAACAAAAATTAAACAACCAGACCTCATTTTATAGACCTTGGTTTATGACCACAATATTCAGTAGGAGCCATTTTGTTAACAATATTTATAGCATTTTTTTTGTGAGCCCAAGGAGAAATGACTGATATTGGAGGTTTAGAAGTGTACAATAAAGACATGTTTATTACGTACCTTTATGGCGGTTGTAAAATCAGATTGACGTATAATATTCGCACGTAGTTGTCAAAACAGGTGATTAGAGGAAACAATGGCGACGTGACGTCACAAGGCAGCACGCGTACACTATAAATAAATGTTTCATAACAGGACCGCGCCGTATTAATACACTATAATTTTAAAATCCGAACTTCTTCAGTAGCGACCAAACGGCCAGTGCTTTGGGTGCGTCATTAAAAAACTTCACCTGCTCTCCAGCCAGCATAAAAAAAATGTTATTAAATAGGAGGCGACTAAACTTAATTACAAACTCAACTTCTGCGCATTATAGAATAATTTTCCAATAAACGTCATACCGGTGCGCGTGCGATTCTAAATCATATGTTTAAGTGTGACAAGCGTCAAAATGGCTCGAAACGGTTGATTTATTAAAAGTTTGACGAGAACGATCGGCCGGCGTCTTAGGTAGCCTCTCGGTGCTTTATTTTGCCTTATAAATAGATTTTTTTATTACAAATTACAGGGTACCGCTTTTGGTAGTGATTTCGATGCAGTCGCTCGGCTACTACTCGTAGTAACCATCGGTTAAACTGTTACTTTATTATGCACTTTAATTTGTGACTAATAGGGCCTAATCTCCCCTGAGATTGCAGGAGATAATTTTGTCCGCTGGGTCTCCGATAATGACGGCTCAAGAGGCTGCTTCCAACGCCAGGGAAAATTAATATTAAAAAATCGCAGGCTTCTTTTAATACGCGCCACACCATAGACTAAACTGTATCGATTGATCTAAAGTCTCTGTGGTGTGTCTCTACATGCGTCCTAAGGGGTTTATACAAAAGGTATACATGGAGGCATTTATTCAATTACACAAACAATACACTATATCGCCTGAAAGTGCACAATGGGTGAACAATGCGAGCTCAGGTAGACGATATGAATAGTGAAAACGACAATTGTCGCTTAACAAAGATTTTAGGGACGAGTCAAAAGTTATACTGTACGTTTTTGTTTATTTTTACGAGGACCGGCGACGATGACACTGAGAAATCAGAAAAAAAAGAGAACTCTTTTATCCTAAACTTCTCGATATAAATTGATGGTCAAGACAGAAAAAATTGAATGCACATAACTGCGATTCATATATCGACATTTTCTGTCTGAATCGACACCTAACACACCGACAGAAGGCGCGCGCTTTTTGTTTCACTGTCAAAAATTATGGCGGCATTAAGCGTGCCAAAGGCATCTGAATTAATTGCTCGGTGTTTCGCTGCGAATGTTATTTACGACCAGTATTGGGTGCGCTCAGATATCCGCACTATTTACCGAGTGTTAATTACCATACAATTGTGGCGTTCCATTTTTAAATTGTCCGATACGTCATCTAGTACCATTCGAGTTTAAGATCTCACGTCTTACGAGAATCGACCGTTCGCGGTATCGGTCGATCGGCTTATTAGCATTTAATTCGTGGTGTCCAAAAGTGGGGGATTCACGGGTCGCTGCCCCCCCAAATTAGAGACTTCCTCGCCCGAGGGGGGTGGGGCCGCGTATGTGTTTGTTGTAAGTCGTTTTCTGTTTTGGATACACATTACGATTGGTCGACCGGGTAAGGGTGGTCATCAGTATATCCCGAGGCTCATTATAAAGATACATAAATGTTATATTCGAACGAGGTTCGTTCACCTTTATAACCAGAACGTTCCCATGCGAGCTAACCTCACAAAATCAAAAAACAAAACCTAAAAAGACGTTTCGCACAATTTACTTTAAAGCGATAAGATAATAGACATTCACGCTTTGTTTAAATTAAATTCAAAGAGCATTAACTTTTTTAAATTAAAAGAAAATCTCAAATAAGAGTTGCGTCGTTTTACCGGTTCTTAAGACATCGGCCCACTGTCCGGTATCCAACAACCGATATAGAACGACAATTCGTATCGAATAATGAGTGGTGTTTGGAATAATAGCCAGTGCCCCGTAGGCGGCATCGAACCTGCTACCCGGCAATCTATCGGTTTATGTGTTCACGGCACACACACGTACGGAGTTACCGTGCTCCATGTCATTATTACCATTCGGCTGTTGTTTTTATAATGCTCCATTTTACTAATGTTTAGTGAGCCAAGGGCATGCGTTAGTCTAAACAATACTGAAATTTGGAGCTTGTTCTTGATTTATGGTCTAACAGAGCTCACTGGGTTGAGTTTTACTTGTTTACTTTATTAAAACGTTTAACAATATTTCTGATAAGATTTATGTTTTGTAATGTAAAAATAGCGGTATTGTTTTTGGTACGTAGCGGTATTTGTAGTGTATTTTGAAAAAAGAACATTATAGTTTTTAAACGTTACATCGTTTGACTCAGTGTGCAAAAAATATTTGAACGGTTATTTTGTTTTAAATTCTACCTGAATTTAATGGTGAAGTTGATCAAACTACAATTACGTAGATTGTCGATAAGTCTTAGATGACATTTATGACTTTCAGATATTAATCGAATGCATACTTTTTATGTAAACTGCCTTTGGAAAGGTCAAACAAATTTGTATTTTATAAATGGTGCACCAAATTGTTGATTTCTTTAACGACTTACGCGTACAGAGGTTACAATGAAGTTACGTATAAAATAAAATATCCAAAGTATGATATCGGCTGATATTTTGAAAAATTTGAATAAAAAAAAAACATAATAAAATAAAGCTATCGAGAAACACACATTGGCACAAAAAAATAAGAAATCCAAATGAACAGACTAATTAATTATTGTTTGTGTGAAACTATTGAAATAATTAAACATACTTCTATGCATTTCATATTTTTGACACAAATAATAAATAGATTATAACTGTCGTAAGTTTATCTACCGCGCTTCTCACTTGTTAACCAATTTCAAAAAAAGAGAGTTCTCAGTTTGACCTGTATGTATGCTTGTGCGCGATTATCTCGCATTTGGCTGAACCGATTTTGATGCGGTTTTCAGAAAATTATTTTTAGAGTTACCTTTTATATAAAAAAAGTGAAAAATAATACATATCTCAAAGAAGAAGAAAATAAGAAAATGCTATAGAGGTCAGACGCTTATCATTTAATTAATAACCTACAGAAAACCTCCGCCCAATTTTAATATAATTTTCATGAATGAGTCGTCTTTGTGATAAGTATTATTTTTCATTTTCTGTTGGTTCCAGATTAAAAATAAATTTTAATTCATCTATATTAATGCTATACCTATTTTTAGATATATAATCTTTTGTGGGAAATTCCCTAGCAAAGCAAACTTAGATTAAGCCAACAAACATATTTATACAAAGCGCTACATGCTACTAGTCGCTAATCTTTGACAAATCTGGGATCCATCATTGTATGTACAGTGGTTCGGAGATAAGAGCGCAGAGCGCAACACCAAAATTTTTTCTTTCATATTTTACACTAACGATCTCACTGTCAGATAAAAGTTATAATTAACACAAGTTAAAATCCAACAAGTTGAAACTTGAATAATGAATGTTATAGCCGTGTGTCGATATAGTCTAGTTAAAAAATATATATAATAGTAGAATGAAAAAAAAAATCCGGCCGCTGCGGGTTGTATGCATGATAGTATCGCATTTCCGGTCAAGTTGAGTTTTAATGTCGAAAAAAAGTGTTTCTTAAGTCCGACCAAAGAATAGGTAGCGCAGACGCGATCAACCGACGTACTCTTTCATGGTACCTTTGTTTGATAAATAGATAATCTACGAATAATTTTTACGGTTACGGTGGCACGTTTAAAGTGAAATTCTAAATTATGCTTTCATTATTCTATTTTATCAATTTTGCATTCATTATGCTATACTGAAAAAATTTTCTTACTGAAAAATGCTTCAAAAATCCACTTTGCCCTTGGTACTATGAGATTTTCACTAATAATATTATGTTTTCATTTCAACCTGATCACAACATCACAAGTATATAATAAATATTTATTAGGATAATTACCATCGTATTCGACTTGGTGATTTTTTTTGTAAATAGTAAAATGTTAAGACTAATATGATACTCGTAAAATATCAGATAAGAGTACATTTCACTAAGGTAACTGTTTCAAAAGTTAATATTAAAAAATGACATAACATTCTTTACATTAAATTGAGTAAGAAGGAAGATAATAAAGTTGACAGATCTCTCAAATGATCATATTAATATTGTTATTGATAAAGAGGTTATTTGAAAGTAAAAATGTACACTCTGTCATGTTTATAGTCTATGACGGCGCGCGCGCAGCCAAGCGAGCGAGCATTTTATTAACCACGTATAGGCATTACCAGCTGGATGCCTCTTCCATTAATCTAAGAAAATATTCTCATGGCTATATTCACTAATACATATATCTACAATTATTTGTATATAATACATACAAATTGATTTTGTTGGTTACATCTATTTATATCTTTATAAGTAGAAATAAACATTTTTTATGAAGAAACAAATATTTCTTTAGTTTTGTTAAAATTTTTATTTTAATATACATAACCTTTATTTGAAATATGAAACACCAAAATCACACGCTCCTAAAAATTAGAAGGTTCCTACGTTGATTTCATAGGCTATGAATATGGGATCTTATCTTAAGTGTGATATTAAATCATAATAACGAGATTTTAGAGTACAGTTAATTTATGATTTTATAATTAACGTGATAAAAAAAAAACAATTTAATGCTTTCTTTTGTTACTGTTTCTATAAAAATATATATATTTCCGTTTATTTTCAGATACGCCAAGAAAAACCTTACTACATAGCAGACCCAGAGGTCGACTCATTAGTAAGTATACTCAAACTTTTATTACCCCTCGTCCCCAAAGATAAATATAAACCATAGGATCAGTTTAATACGCCATAAAATGGTGAACACTTTACAGTTCACCTCCCGAGCGTTTAAATAATTTACGATTTGATTAGCTAAAGAGCTGTCTAAAATTAAACACAGGTAAACGAGAAATATTTCTCGGAAAAAGGGAATAAGATCAAATAATATATAAACATATATATATATATATATATATTGTCACTCATAAAAAGTTGAATCGCACCGTGCGCCTCCCGCGGCTAGCTGGACAAAAAGTGAAATAATAAAAACAAGATGGCGGCCACCCACCGTCGCCGGTCGACACGGATACTTAACCGATTTTTAACAAATAAAATCTAAGGCATTACGAATTGACGGCCAGTGGGCCATATTTGACTTTGTCCACGAATTAAATTTGTTACAACCTGTTTCGTATTCATCGCTGTGTTGATCAGCTGATTGACTATCTCTAACGTTGTTTGGAACATGAATTTTAATTTGTCATAGAGAAGTACAGAATTCAAGTTCGAAACAGTAGCTGTTCGTGACGCCATAAACTAAGATGTCAGCTTTACTGGCTACAGGGTCTGATAAGCGTCATTCATTCGCTTACCACGTTTAAAACCAACTAAAGCTTGATAAGGAACCCAAACAAACCAACGACATCCGGGCGCAAAGCAAACTGTTGAGGAATAGGTGATTCTTAATGTTTTTGTCTGCGATCCTGACATGTGGTACCACTGGGTGCACATGTTTGTCCTTCATATGCTTCTGAAAGTTCAGTTTGTCATTTAAATTTAATAGTAAAAATAAACGAGCTTATTTTATTCCTAAAACATAGAATATAAATGACTAAGTTTAAGGTGTATCTGATTGTAAGATTTTTATAACTGAATTTTGTAAGCGCTGGTGTGATATTAAATTTTTAAAAGCTTACAATTTTGCAAGACGTAAATTACTAGTATTCAATAATAAATGTATTCAAATTTTACCAACCGAGCTTTCAATGGATCTTTTGAGCGGCCATACGAGTAATTTGCTTCAATTCAATTAAAATTCCAGAATGATCTTTTGTGAAATATTCATAAGAAACTTGTACTCGTGTGCGGCCATATGTTTTACTTGTTACGTCGTATATTTCGGTTGACGTTTTTCCACAATTTCAACCTTAACTCCTTGTCAGAAGATTATCACTTAAAAAGATACTTTTTCTCTCCTCTTGTGTTGTCGTTTTTGTGCGACCAACTGACAGGTCTGTTACATTCTCATATTTGTACATGAATTATTGTTAATATAGAAGCAGGGTTAAAGTGGAGGAGTATTATGTTGTTGTTTATTATGATCGCTCATCGAAAATGTGTCAACGTATGTCCAATTCCATTACATGCATCGGTGGATTAAGTCGAGTTCATTGTTAATTTGAAAGTTTCGTCTTGTTTTTGATTCAAACAAAGTGTTGTTATGTAAATATTAAGCGTTCATCCTAAATTGCTTCCTTGTGGTACACTATTTATTATTTTCTACGTAGAGCATTGAACTTAATGCGTTCATAGATAAATATCTATAATAGCTCCAAAGAGTCTCTAATGCAAACAAACTAATGGTTTTATAGTTTTAAAAACCAACATGGGGTATTCATCGTCCCAAGCATTGGTTACGGGTCTGGTGAGACCGTCTGTTTGCCTATGTCACATCTGTGTTTGGACTGTCACAGCCTTTTGAGGCATTAAACTTCCTCAAACATTGTCGCGCTGCCAGCAGTAGCGTCAGCAAATAAACCGGGCTTCAGTCATTAGTAACTGATAATTGTGGGCTTAGTGTAACTCGCCACTTGAACTGTCCCTCTGAAGTGCTTTCATTTTATGTGATTAATATTTTTAATTACAATAATAATATTAATAATACGATAGCTTTGTAATATAATAATTATTTGAAAAAGGTAATTTTAAACTATTTAAGTAATGCACTATACCAATTTATTTTATAAAAATGGTAATGTAATAATTTTTTTTCAAAAGTTCTTTTCCAAAGAAAGTCATAGATTTCATACGATATCCTTTGAGTAAACAATGGTTGGTGGCAAGTGTGTTTAGTCAAACATATTTTTATCTGTGTCGTCGCTTGTCTGAGCAAACACCCGAGGGTGGTTTAACAGCCTTTAATTGATATACCACTCGTAAGCTCTGCAGATGTCCTTCTCTCCTGGTACTTTTGGGATCCGTGTCAATAGTGATTCATTGCGTAAACATTCGACTTAACTCGGCAATACTTCGTTAAGCGTCAATAAATTATATCTCTATTTATGTTCTGCCACTCTGGTACTTGACATTCATCTCAATGGCTCCGTCATTGTTTACAAGTTAAGATATTTTAACATTCGTCCAACAAGTTCAAAGGCTACATGAATTATTCATAAATTGTGAAGCGTTCCTCATTTATGGAAAATTACATCCCAATAACGAAGTTATCCATCACAACAATGACTTATTAACACCACACACTCGTCCGTGAACCCGGCATTATTTTCAAATTTAAATGTAAGAAGCACTTGTAAATCATCAATCAAACTCCGAATGGGATGAGTATTAGAGAATTCGAGCCGCGTCTCCGAGTGGCAATCAGAAACAAATCATTGCGCTATTAAAACGGCATCAGCCGAGGTTTTTAGATAGGTATCGATTTGAAAAAGCTCCCTGATTAGATCTCCAAACAAAATCAAACAATGTAAGCTGATACCATCGATGAATGGAGGAATTTGACTGCGCAAGACACGCGTGATCGTTTAACTAAAAAAAATAATAATATTATCAATATTCCTACAATCGCATAGTTAGATAGTTTAATTTGGCGGTCACGATTAGAGTGACATAGTTATTGAATTATTGATTTATCGATATAGTAGAAATTTACCTCCCTATGCTGTGGAGGGCTTGGATGCTCATTGTCCAGTCCCCTTGTTGTTCACTTAGCTTTGTTGATTGTGTTCTAGACAATCATTACCATTACCTGAATGCTTAGGACTTATAAGTTAATCATATCGCTATAAAATATGGCTATTAATGTGCTCGGTTTCTTTACAGATGGTGCAAGCGATACAAGTACTACGGTTTCACCTATTAGAATTAGAAAAAGTGAGTACACGTTTCATTATGTTAAACGCACAAATTGGAATACATTCGGGCGATCGATATTAAAACCTGTTTCGTAAATATCATATAACAACTACAACGTTTCGATTATCTGAGGGCTCGATCCCGAATCGTGATATCGCATCGATGCACGCGATGAGAGCACGCACACAGCGGCGGACGACACCTTGGAAGACGTTCGAATTTCAAATTTTTGAAAATCAGGTGTTCCTTCGCCGTGAATGGGAGCTCGTTCGCATTTAGAATGTTAGTTTAGCCTTATCTCCCATTTCGGCGTGTTCCGTTCGGACCGGTCCGGTTTCTTGCGTGTGTCGCGTCGCCGATTCGCGGCATTATACTAGATCGGGTTGAACATAACGGTAACCCGGCAGGACGCTCACTTTTTGTCCGACACCGTCAAATCAGACAATTTGCGCGTAGTCGTATTAATTAGTAGTATAAAATTTAAATCTCCTATGTTTTTTACTGCGTTGCCGTGTCGCCCGGCGAAGAATTAATTTAACTTGTCAATATTATGGTCACGTTTCAACGAAACTAGTTTGACTAACGTCTATATCAAGACGAATGATCTCGAGAAACGAGATACTTCACCCAGCGGTCGTTCTCACAGCGGATTCCATAAAAATATCCGGACGACGGCGTCGATCGAGTAAGAGGTATGTTAGAAACCGGTAAATTCGGTGAAAAAAGTACACGCTGCTAATACAAAAAGCACTGCCTGTAACGAGATAAACTGTAATGCGATACCACTGTACGAATCGTTGGCCGGAGGGCGAGATAAAGGCCAATTAAAAAAAAATAAAAATAATACGCTTCGAAATTTAAAATATCGGCCTCGAGCCAAACCGAGAGCTCGATGGAAGAAAATCACTCGATTTTAATAATACGTTTATTTTATAATCGAATGCGTGATTGAATAATATATAGTCAGGATCGTTTTGTTGTTATTATTCGTTTTCTAGACCATCGTTTTAGGTGGTTATCCTACCTGTTCACATATCGAAAATCGAAACTATTTTTTGCTCTGTGCTCATATCCTACACTCGTCCGTTTTTATCTCGTCTACGGTTTTTGTTGAATAAAAAAAGAAAAAAATAAGGTGCCGTTAGTTTCGAACCATTTCCGCTTCACTACACACTGTTCACAAGTGATGATTTTTTTCCCGAGTTTATAATAATTAAAAATAAAAAATCAACCGGCTCAAGTTGCGCTCAATGAGATCTTGTTATGCGCTCTAATTTTTTCTCTCTTTTCTATTCTTTAATTGCTGGGCTTTTGTAAAAAAGTCTTCAAGTTCAGAAAAAAGTTTTGAATAAAAACACTTCTTTTTTAATTACAGACTTTGCCCAAAAGTCTAATGCAATAATGTAATGACGAGTAAAAAAAGACACGTCTCGGTAAATAATAATCGTGTAAGAAAAAACTAGCCTATGGTATTTACATTAAAATATCCAATAACGATTTTGATTTATGCTTTAAATATTTTAAATATGGCCGGCGGCGATAGCGCGCACTGCTCGATGTTTCCTGGAGTCCTTTTCGATCGCGCGATCAACTCTGGGATTGGTCGCCACTAGCTGGTTTTTTTATTACACGCATCGATGTTCCCTAATATTGATTAAATCTAGTGGTCGTTATGATTTAATGTGGCTGCCTACCATTTTCAAAATTCAAATACATACGTCGTCGTATATATTCAAACTTCGAAATTGGAACACATTTATCTTAATTGCATTTGTTTTAATTATTGTGCACGAAACAGCACCGTATGCGGCCATTATTAAAAAGCAACAAATTCAAAAGCGGACTCGTGTTCCGTTTTTTTTTTCATATTTCGTTTCTAACTCGTAAACGTTATCTGTAACAACGTGGCTAAGTGATTTACGATGTAGGTCAGATTTGTTGGTTTACGGGTTTCGAACTTGGGACCCTGCGTTTACGACGCCTCGGCCGCTCTTTTATAACTTTTATACAACACAGAAATAGTATGATTGTATTAATATTACGTTAGGCGACACAAGTTTCAGTGGTAAAAATAAAATATTCAAATTATGTAATTAACTGGTGTCTCGCAGAAACTTTTAGTGTATAAATAATATAACGAGCGAGCCCGAGTGGAGTCAGGTGAGAAGCAATCGAGGTCTCATTTGAATGTGGGATGGCCGACCGGTTGATTTTTTATTCAAACAAAAATAAAAAAGAAAAGAAAGGAATCCGGCCCTGTCCGCCGATCAGAAATGTCGGCCAAATATGCCCTGGCCACATTTAGTATATAGGTGCACATGTGCGCATATAACCCACAATTTTAATGGGTGAAAAAATGTTTAAGTGTGATCTAAATTATCGTGTTACAAATTTAAATGGATTAACCATATCTCCTCCCACCAATGTTGTCGTAATTATTAGATTTAAAATTGATTTGATACGTTTAATGTAAAATGGACGTTTCATTTTGTGGTACGTAGTCACACCCACATGTCGCATTAGCGGAGGAAGTGGCTTATAACGAGAAAAACCCTTTTAGTTGCGAATCGACCGACACAGATTGTTGCACCAGATTTTATCCATCCCACGCTCTTGGCACCAGCCGGCGACCAACTACTACTCTCTTAAACTCTTTCAAAATTCACTTATCAAATCTTGAACCGGTTCAGAGTAAACAACGGTGAAGGCTGAAAAATCGAAACCACACTTCTATTTGTAAAAAAGTTCTTAAATTCGAATTTCAAAAGAATGACAGCTATTCGCATAGGGAACGTCTATACGTCAACGGGCTCGCGTTATATCACATTTCATTCGGAGTTTAAATAAAAAGTATACATTCTGAAACACTCCATATCTCAATCCGTGAGTCGTTCGTTCCAAATTTATATTTCTGGAAAGAGTTTGATGTTTCTAAACGATAATCGTCTCGAACCCGACTCGGAATGCCGTAATATCTCATTAAAGGCATTACTTTTAACTAACAACGCCGTATCGAGGGAATGTGTCCAAACGACTATCACTCTTTACAGCAAGGCTGTACGGCTTAAGTTGTCGCGTACGACGTCAACATTACATCCTTACCAATCCGCTGTGGAGACAGTTCCAAATTTGAATCCCCAAGAGTTACGATGTCAAATCTTACCGGCTGTCACTAAAATCGAAAATAGTATCGGGCGTCACAGAGGTGCCGGATTAGAGAGCAACTTTATTTCGGACATTGTGTTTACTCTGTCGCTCGCGAGCTTATAAAAGCACTCTCAATCATGAATTCGACAGCGCAATGCTCGAACACCGCCGGTGAAGCGCGCGCGGTAGCGTTTACGCTCTAGTGTCAATAAAATTCACACAGTCATAAATATGGATTTCAACCGATGGGTTGTAAAATTCGTATAACAACACTAAACAAACTACGATATTCGACCACCGAGGCGCGTGCGCACGCGACGTGTAATTTTGAAAAAAGAACTACCGTCCATTAGGAAATTAGTATCACCGAAGACATAATTAGCTGTCAACGACGCGGCTAGCGTTGTTTCCGCTTCCGTCGATGTTCTATTTTCAAATCCGCCGAGAGTCGGTTCGGGATTTTTTTCCCTCGTCCCGCGTCCCACCTGCCGTCTTTTATTACTTTTCACCGTGTAAATTCTCTTAAAAATTTCGTTAGTCTTTTTATTGCCTTATGTTAATTTCTAAGCTAATTATGCCTATGAAAATTTATAAGGCCGACTAACAAAATTAATACTCGCCCGCCGGGGGCCGTATTTTATCGGATGAAATATAAAAAAAAAATATGAGTTTCGTGCCGTTTTTACGATTCATTTTGAGTTTTTACAATTGTGTGTGAAGTGACAGTTGGCGCGCGACTACGCTCAAATGTATTCCTTTTTTGTGTTCCATTGTTTGGTATTTTTTAGTTCGTCTTTGTATGGTGATATTAGTTTAAAGGTCGTATTTAGTCTCCTTAACAGCGCTAGATGTTACTGAACCCAATCTGTATTGGTTATTGATTTGTTTTGTTTTTATGGTAATTTTCTACAGAATAATTAAAAAAGCCTTATTTCAAATTAAAAAAGATCAGAAGGTTGTGGGAAGCACAAATACGACTTCATTTTCAAGAGCTTTTCATGTAAAATTATAGTAAAATACACTAAACACTGAATTTAAAATATATATATAAGGAAAGTTATAAATTATAATAGAATGATTCATTAACTGTATAGTAACTTTTTTTGTGTTATAATCAAGACTAAAGAGAGTGAGAAAGTAATTTAAATTCTCTGTAAGAAATAAAAACAGGGAGAAAAAAGCAGCTCTTGCTAAGGTTCATCTTAGTACAAGGTCCCCCGCCGCACATTATTATTACAATTCTTTAAAAGCTCCAGTAAGAGCAGCGACCGTACGCCGGCTATTTGACTCGAGATATGCGTACGCATGGTGACCTAGTGATATGTGTGCAGGTGCACGAGTTATGCGACAACTTCTGCCACCGCTACATCAGCTGTCTGAAGGGCAAGATGCCCATCGACCTGGTGATCGACGAGCGGGAGTCGGCGCGGCCGCCGGACGCTAACGGCGAGCCCCGCTCGGCGCCGGACAGCTCGCACGACGGCGCATCCACCCCGGACGTAGTGAGTACCCCCTACACAAAGTCCCATCTCATTCAGAGGCGCGATCCCCAGCTAGCACCCAACTCGACCACGAGCTATCTCGTGCACCCCTGTTCTTAGTCTGGCCATTGCAAAAACGAAGTCTCTAAGGGGGTGCTCGCAATTTAGTCCCATTTCCCGCCTCCCTGCTTGTAACAACGCGTCCGTGTGTGTCGCCAGACACACTAGGACGCGCTAGCTTTAAATTCCTTAGAACAAATCTTCGTTTTTGCAATTGGCCAACCTCTTGCCACTGTACGATGAATGAATTCATTGAACATTTTTAAATTATATTATAAAATTTTCTTTTCATAAAATTTTACATTACCAAAACGTTACAGTGAAGGGGTGAGATCGGGTGCGGTGGTTCAAATGAGCCATTTATGATCGTTTTCTTAAAGAATATTGGCGCCGATATTCGAAACTATTTGTTTGCACCGAAATTTATGTATACGATTGAAAAATACATACGTATAACGTTGATTGTAATATGTGTATACTAATACGTTAGTGAGTAAATAAATAAATAATTCCTCTAGAGCAAATTCGCTGTCTCGAGAGGCACCAATCTGATTCCAACGCCATACTTAGCTACGCGTTCCGAGCTTAGATTAAAAAAAAACTAATTAGATTTACTTAAAAAAAAAAACTATTCAAAAACGAAGTATACGTAAAAATACAACTTTAACTTGCCTAAGTGAGATAATAAGGTTTACTTAAGAGTTTTAAATTATTGTAATTGGTTTGACGGTGGTAGATGCTAGAATGTTATTGTTTTGGCTAGTAATACAACATAATGATATACGTAAATACATATTTCGCGCGATTTATTACGTTTACTATATTGGATAGAAGCACAAGGATACGATTTAGTTAGTGAAAAACAAAAATACGTATACAGTATACGCTAGTTGTAATGAAGGTCCGGGGGCTCACCTGCATTTAGTACGTGTTCATTTTCGATACATAATATTGCGAATCGTATAGGAATGCAGGTGACTGCCATTCACGGACAAATTATAAATATATATATGTATGTGCGTTATAAATAGAGAACTAGTTGCTTCTACAGAATAAAGTAATAAAAAGATAGCGGTGACATTGTGTTCCGATATGACGATCCATTTCTGCCCATTCTCCTCCTGCATTATAAAATAATTGATACAGTAACTTTAGGTAAATTAAGATAATTACGTTTATTGCTGTATTTTTGTACATTGCATGATGTTAATGTTTTTTAATGACTTTGATTATGTATTATCATTTACTGGATGGATCCATTAGACGAAATCTACATTGGTTCGCGATTCGGATCGACATGTGACATCACTATGTTGTTTCATAATTTTTAAGGGATATTTTTGGGCGTTGAGACTGAATTGTTTTGTTTGTGTTATATATTATTATTATTTCCCATTTTGTTAACATTGAAGCCATATTGTCTGGGCTGATGATGCACTTGAACACTGCGATGTTGACGCCAAGATCGATTTAATTTTATTGAACTAAAATTACTTAGTTATTTTTTGTCTGTATATGAGTTTTAACATTTAAAAAATTGTGTAGTTGGAACATGTCTAAGTTAGGTTTTAGAATATACGAACGCGGTAGGTTTTTTCTGTGTTACGAAACTTATTTTCTTAAATCTAACTCGTAAATGTATATTAATATATGCTATTTGGTGTACGTCCATCTTGTATGTCAATGTGATTAATTTTATAATTTTATTTTTTGAACGGATTAAATAAAATGTTCTGTTTGAAATTAATGTGGTAGTTTGTTTTCAATACACATTCTATTATAACGTACAACATCAACGTAAAACAATCTTTGTGAACGTGATATCATATTTTTGTCGTGTCGGGGTATACCATAAAGCACCAGTATCCCCCGGCGCGTAGGGAAAGCCGGAAAATTGTTTCTTTACTGCACCCCGCGCGCTAATCTATTGTATCGCACCGATACCTAACAGAGCTTCTCATAAAATGGAACTCCCGGAATCATTTCAAGGAGCCGACTGCGACAATTTGATATTTTTATTTATTTTTTTATAGTCTGCTATTGACGTTTGATGGATGCCGATTGGGGGTTAAATTGTCGATTAAAAAACCGGGGGTAATCGTAATTGGTGAATTAAAGTTGGCTACGTTATCGTTGTCCTTTAAGAAATTGTCTTATGTAAATGAACATAATCATATGAGATTCTTTATGGAGTTATAAGGAAAAAGCGGCAAATTGGTAACAAACATACGCATATGAAGGGCATAAAATAGCTAACGACATACAATGAATAATGTAGAAGTATCCGTGGAAAGGGCATGGGCAATAAGAGAAATAATAATATAGGGGACAAAGCCGGGATTTGCCGGGATCCGGCAATTCGTCACGGATTCGTCGCGGTGCCGTTGTCATCTCTATGGGCGTGTCTATGGGAATAACTGGTCTATGGCTGTTATTGCTGTGGACACAACAGTCATGGGGATTAATGCAGACGCACACGGCCATTAAAATTTACACTGCATTCGTTTTTTTTTTAGGGTCCTTCAAATGTATATGTAGAATATGTATTTAGATGTGACATAAAAAATGGAAATCGAAAAAATTGTTTTAAAGGGCCTAAACCAATTCACATAATATCAAACTGACCACAACAAATGAATATTTTCTTGTATAATTATTACTTGGCAATGGTTTTGATATAAATATTAGAAATAAGCTAAGTTAATCCGTAAAACGACAACTTATAGACAATTTGCAAATTTTCCCTAAATATCACATAAAATTATTTACGGAGGAATATCAACATTCCATATTAGAGATTAGAGTCCACATTCGGTTATTTTCCTCTATCATTTCAGATTAACATGGATTAGTTGATATAAATTAGTATCGGGATAAGCAAAGTCGTGTTCCATTATCATGTTTTATACTATAAAAATTATATTTCGTCAATAAAAACACTAATTGATATGTATACCGTTAATGGCGTCACAGCGTACAGAATGCGTTCATTAGAAGACGCCGTCTGCTCTGTCAGTCCGTTTGTCGTGAGTGTTTTATAACATTGTAAATTCTAGTTAACCTACACCATTTTAGATAGACCACAAGTCTAGATTGTTACATGAATCACTTTAATTAATACCTTCTTGAAATAGAGTTTAGAGCAAGTCGTGTCATCTACATACATCTTTACGTTATTTTTTATTATTGTTAGTAATTTACGGTGCATAATTTGTAACATTGTAGGTTATATAGAAAATATCATGTCCAATTCTCGATTTTATTAATGACCTTTGAACTAAATCTGCGTTAAATTGGTAATGGTAATTGACGCGAGTATTTAGAATAATTAAAAAGAAAATAATATAGCATAGAGTTTGCATTCAAGAGTTCGGAGTACGTCTAGTGTCTTTTTGTTTTATAGTTGTCAATTGTAGTCTTTGCCATAGATTGATAATATGTTTTCCCTTACAAATCTTACAGTATCATCCATTTACAATGGAAATTTCAAAATAATTAAGGCGTGTTAATGCTTTAAATCAATTGACGTGATACCTGTTCTCGTTTAATCTTCTAGGTAATTCTACGAACCTATAATTATCCAAATGCACCATCTAAATCTGTCATTTTTGGCGCCAAAACAGTAAAAAGACGCCGAGCGCAGCGCTCGTAAACCGTCGCTTTCAAATCTGGAGCGTTTGATTGGCTCGCCGCTGACCAATCTGCACACGAAGACAAATTTTACGACCACCCATTGGCTGCAGCGCGGTAACTTATTTACGACAGACCTAAGGTTTGTTCGCGAAATTTCTATTAATAAATTAGCCGTAAACGTTCACAATTTATCGCTATTACATTAATTGTAATTATTCTTTTTGTAGAAATAACATCATCCTTGCTTAAATAATCCACTTTGTCCCTGGTACTCTGTGATGGACAGTCGATTTCTTAAGCATTTTTCATTAAAGAATATTTTCCATAATATTATCCTTGCTTTTCATGCATATACAGATATCTAAACATTGCACTAATAAAACATTGTTCGAGACTGTAAAATCTATCATTTTTTTCGTTTCAATGCTGTTCGTGGTATAATATTTTTCTTATTTCCACCTGTGCAGGTATAGATTACAAAGGGCTTGTTTTAATCTTTTTTTCTTTGAATGGAAATAATAGGTTGATGCCCGCTGTGAGGTTCTTTTGATGCGTTGAACCATTCGCAAAGCTGCAGGGTGCCGATGTCTTCATCTGGACGGGGAAAATGATTATTTCCCTAATAACGGGGAAAACGTTATTTTTATTGACACATTTGCGGAACCAGATTTTGATGATCAATCTTGAAATGTCAGTAATGTTTGAAGTCATTTGTTGTGAGAAAAAAATCTATGAAGTCTATAATCAGATTAGATTCGCCCGTTGTTTTGTTAAACCGAAATTTTGTGGAGATCTTCCAATTAGATTTCTTCGAATAATTTCGAATTTTGCCGGCTATCCGGCTGATGTCATCGCACCATCTGTTAGGTCCCATTACGTCGACCTGCCCACATTTAGTCTCACAAATGTCGATTAAGGAAACCCTTTCATAAATGTATCTGATAAATTCTCTCGAGTGACTTCGCAAAACCGTTTTTGATTCTTGTGTGTATAGTAAGTTACACAAAGTAGGTCGATGAACTTTAATGAAACCTTTGAAACGAGTATAAAACATGACCGAAAAGAAGTTTGACTATTATGTTGATTAAACATAAGAAATTCATACTGAGGCATTTGCAGTGTTATTAAGAAACAAGGTTTAGCGTTGGAGTAAAATAATGCTGAGACAGAACTGAGTATTTGTCAAAATTGATATTATTAAACAGAGACATAGCAAAGGTTTACCTAATGGGGCTGTCGTGCTTTAAAGACAAAAGCCCCAAAAATATTAAAGATAATAAAAAATAAAATAAAAAAAAAGGTTTACCTAGTACTAGGTTCTACGAGAGTAATACTTACTCCTAGAATGTAGTAGGTTTGCTTATTCTGTGTATGAGTTTGGACTAATACTAAAATTGCAATTTTAGCGTCAATTTACTCCGATGCTAAACCTTGTTTATTAATAGCACTGATGAAGTTAATTTGATATTTAGATATAAGTATTAACAATTGTAAGCTAAGTTAACAATATAATGGACGGAATCGACTCGGCACCTTATAAATACTACACGTGGGCGGACAATAGTGAGCAAAGTGAAATTTACACTCGCATTAAAAAAAGAATTACCAGGAAATAAGCACAAAGTGGTTGTCCATATACGCATGTACTCAGGCACCGTGACATTGGGCCAGGCGGGGGAGGGCCGTCTCCCGCGGTGCTATTTGTTGGGAGACCAGAGATGTTTCCGCTGTGTGACCTCCCCAGTTTGAGTGATTCCGGAGACGTGGGGGTCGGTAATTGCATAAGTTTCGTCGAGAATACCATTTCATAGAAAAAAAAAGATAAATAATCTATGTTTAAAAAAGAAAGATCAAAACCTCTAGATTTCCCATGGATTGATTCTTAATTTAAATTTCACAATCAATGAGCACTGAGACTATGAATGAATGGAAAACAGAAATGATATTACATCTAATTGCTGTCTGCAAGAAACCAATCACATTCCAATATTCCCTGTTTCTCATCTCTGTAGAAAAAAAGTTTAATATCAGAAGCTCACCGTTATGCTACTGTCTGTGAATTATCATGGGCTTTCATCGAAAATAATAAAATTAAACTGCTATAGACGCCGACACAGTAACACCGGGAGTGGATATTGCGCGTTCCAAATCAAAAAAAAATCCGAATTAAATTTTTATACATTAATTACGGACGATCGGCTTCCGTAAAAGCACAATCTTTGAACACATTTCCTAATTAGCGATTGGTCACGCGCGCGGCGGCCGATCGCGCCATTATTCCAAATCCGAGTCCGGCAATTTGAATTTGGAACGGTTGTGGCATAACAGATTCAACGAACTTCCTCATAAAAATCATAGACAATATAATATTTTTTTATTAGCCTACTAGGTCGCGATGTTACGAGTTGTATGACTAAAAGATTTAATTAATATTTTTATTGTACAGTCAGTGTAGCCTGACCGAAACATTAATTAGGACCGGCGCTTTATGGTTTATGATCTGTTTTATGTACATCGTAATAGTAAAAGCGGCTAGTATTATCATTAAAGAATAATAGCGATGCTTATTAAATTCATATAGCGCCAAGTAGCATATTCCAGTGTTCCAGACCGATCTGCTGCTGTCATGTCAGCGCTAAGGGAATTTTAAATCAAACAAGGTCATGCAATGTGGTCAACTATACTTAAATAAAGAGATGTCGTCATACCAATTAAAAAAAATTATCCCCCTTAATAAGTGTCAATTCTTAACGAATGTGTGCATACGCATGATTTTTATTTCACACGTTCCTCACTACGGTGCTGAAAGTAAAATTAAACACTCACTAACCATCCTTAAGAGCTGTTATCGTAAGGTTCATATTATATTGAAAACTTAGTTTTACGACTATTTTTATTGACGCTTAGTCTCGACACTCTCTTGTGGCTTCCAGAACCAAAAAAGAGCAAGCTTACATCATGGGTGTATCAAAAATAAACTTTATTTCGTTTTCCATATGGCAGGGATGGACTCGATGTGTTTTAGTGTGAGCCAAACAGTAATGCTAAGGTACTAACTAATATGAAGTAAGTCGAAGATGAACGAAGTAGAAAAGGCCATCAAATTTTAATTG